TAAGGCTGTCTTTTGGTGGATAATATGATCAACTGATATAATTCATGCAAATGAGGATCCTATTTGCATAATCAAAAGGAATAATCTTTCCTTTGTCAGTCATAAAGATTAACATCATATGGCGAAGGTGTGAGGTCCTGGAACTCTAGTTATACCTTGCGACTTGCATTCCATGCTGAAATCAGTTCTTACAAAACATTCATTCACTGAATCCATAACAACACAAGAATCATGACAAAGGGGATTCTTTTTACCATGTTTTATTATTTTTTTGTGAGTTTTAAGTTTCCTTAAGTTTGCTTTATTCTGTTGAACACTACAACTCTCACAAACCCCATTCTTACTGTACCAACCCCAGTGTGGAGATTTGTACAGGTTGCTATAAGTATAACATCAGGACTGGACTTAACCATAACTAACTTTCCTTCATCTCAGTTGTTACTGCTAAAATAGAGGGGGTGACTGATGAGTTAAAGGGGTTAAGCGGAAACTGGCACAGAAGGGGGTATGATGGAATGAGGGGGTGCGATAGAGGAAAGATGGGGTGTACATGTATCATGTAGTGTTACATGTGTATCACAGAGTGCTACATGTGTATCACAGAGTGCTACATGTGTATCACAGAGTGTTACATGTGTATCACAGAGTGCTACATGTGTATCACAGAGCGCTACATGTGTATCACAGAGTGTTACATGTGTATCACAGAGTGTTACATGTGTATCACAGAGTGCTACATGTGTATCACAGAGTGCTACATGTGTATCACAGAGTGCTACATGTGTATCACAGAGTGCTACATGTGTATCACAGAGTGTTACATGTGTATCACAGAGTGCTACATGTGTATCACAGAGTGCTACATGCGTATCACAGAGTGTTACATGCGTATCACAGAGTGTTACATGCGTATCACAGAGTGTTACATGTGTATCATGTAGTGTTACATGTGTATCACAGAGTGTTACATGTGTATCACAGAGTGCTACATGTGTATCACAGAGTGCTACATGTGTATCACAGAGTGCTACATGTGTATCACAGAGTGCTACATGTGTATCACAGAGTGCTACATGTGTATCACAGAGTGCTACATGTGTATCACAGAGTGCTACATGTAGCAAGGTGGGAAGTAAGAAAGAAAGGAGACAGGGCAGACTAGTGACAGGGAGAGAGTGAGAAAGATTGGGGGGGATGTGATATACATACATCTGTAGGTCACAATAACAATCTGACAATCTGATCTGTCGAACCCTTAGCCTGGTACTCCCACAAAATCCAGTCCTGTAACTTACCTCCTACATAACAGTGACCTCTAACAGTATCCTACAGAACTGCAGCTCTTTAAATACCAGATCAACATCATTAGCAATTATATCAATATTATTTTTCCAAACGTTTGTATGGCACGTTACCTTGTGGTCAGGAAGTAATTAATAATCATTTTGCATGTACCAAAAAATACTAATTTTGCCAATATTTTCATACATCTTCAATGCACAACAATAACTTACAAAAAAGTGATGTTTTAACATACACAAATTCATGCATACCAAGAAAGCAAACAGTATGGGCCAATGTTCATCTTTCTCTACCATCTATATATATATAATATGTATATACACATTGATATAGATGTGACATTATGATGGCACAGAAGAAAGATTATCAGCATGAAACAACAGAGTGCCCAGAAACTCCATTCTTCCAACCAGACCAAGTAACAAGAACTAAATCCATAACTCTTAGATGTGCCTGTGTTTGTGAACTATTTCTTTCAACACTCAACAGTAGGATGATACAGTGTTCATAAAGTTACATCGGACGGAACATGTAAAATGCACTGTCCTGGATCATTTCAAAACATTGCAATTTCTTCACGCATGTTTCAAGGGTGAACTTTCATCCTTGAAAACAAATTCATATGTCCAATATCAATATACAGTCATGTCTTTACAATTAATTCCTGTACTTCTTGTTCCCTAGCGTAAGAATTCTTAGTTACTTTGTTCCTGATTATTTGACAAACGTGATAACAGGTATATACGCATCAGTGACAGTGTGTAACTGTTCTTCCTGTACTGTGCATTGGAAACACAGTATTGCTGAACAGTTTCCTTTCTGAAAAACTGCATTCCTGCATTCACATCTCCATGTACAAAGTACAAGTGTGATCTGCCCATTGTAACAGTAGCATCACATTCGGATGCCTTATAACGACCAATGTCTCACAAAGACCTTTCAGACAAATATCTGTCTCACACTATGGAGACATTCCACTCTGATACATTTTTCACATTCAAATGATGCAAATATACATGATTCACAAGACTACTTGAAAGGTGAACGTACAATGTGCAGATTTGTATACAGTGGTAAGCTGTTATACAAGAGTTTTCTGACAGTACCCTACATCGAGGGAAAATGTGACTTTTATAGACTGGATTCTCAAACAAAATCATGGCATACAAAGCAGAAGATTTTTTTTTCTTCCCTTGAACTTTTAAAAGTTACTACTTGGGTGACAAGGATGAGACAAACGGTGTCTTTAAGTTTGCCCATACATACTGAGGTTAGGGCTTAGCCTCCACCAGGCCTTCTGCAAGGCGCTAGGATGGTAGATGTCAGGAAAAAAGGGTCTGACTGGCCATGGTAGTGGGTCCACCTTAAAGGTTTCGTTTCTCCCTTGGACAAATGAACTCTACAGTAACCAAACTCCCCTGGCCGATTTTTCTCTCTATTTGGCTAAATTTTAGCCTGACTGAACCTTGCTTTTCGTTTCTGAAACTGCAGTTATAGTCTGGTGGAGATGGGTCAGTCAATCCATTCAAAGGTGTGACAAGCTGCTCATCAAATCTATTCAAAGGTTTCACTATACCTGACCTGTACCTGGCCCCATCCTCGTGACCTATGAGCAACCAGACAAGTTATTTCTCCTAGATCTGTCTCATCCTCGTGAGTGAGCTTGTACTTCCAATTCTGACAGGATCTGCTATTAAAAGATGGTTCCAATAATGAAGCTCACGCTTTTTCTGCATGTAACTTTATGACTTTGTTGTTGAGAAATCTTGACATCTACCAGAACATGGAGATGCCAACAAGCCACCCGATGACTAGTGCCACTGCACAGCTAACTAATCATGGGGACCCAACATAATGGCATCTCTCTTCATATAACAGAAATGGAAATCGACCAATGTGTTTTGCCACTGACAAAGGAACGATGAACTTTAGAAATGAGTATCACAATAATTTTGTGTCCAAACAATGATGTTACATAGACCTTGGTCTGCAGTACAATATAAAGGTTTACTTTTTTTCTTAGGTGTGAGGATCTCAGTACTATGGACTATGTGTAAGAGCTGCGTGTTGCACTTCACATCATTTAATCTTGTGTTTGTTAAGTGGTCAAAGTGACTTTTCAATTTTTCATCTTGTTCCATCAAACTACATCCTACAGTCTTTTCTTTATGGTATTTGTAAAATTATATATATATTTTTTTTCACTCTAGTCAACATTCAATATATTTTTTCATTATTTTGCGTATGGGCCACAAGCACATCACGTACAGAGGCACAACTATGGTTAGCAGGCAGCTAGAAATACATGGACTTTTTCTTCTTAATACAAAACTTGTGACGAGTAATAGTTTCACATCAATAGCTATGCCTGCCCAGCTCATCCCATGTCTGCATTAACTTGATTTTTTTTCTCTCACACTTTTGATGTTTGGACCTAGCAGGTTTTTCAAGACAAGCTGAGCTTTCTCTTTTTTTCAGAGCCAAAATACAAAATGTAGTTTCCAGCAAGGCAACATGTAAGACACAAAGAACCATTTGAATCCTTGCCATGGGTATATAAGCTTAGTTTCTCTGTGCTCACATTTCACCTTTTTCTAGTTACTTCTATAACTATTGGTTTTACTGTGCTGATTTTCCCTACCTTCTGCAGTCTTAGCCAGTCTTCTAACCACCAACAAACAATGCATGCTTGCATGTTGATAGATCTATTTGTCGATAGTACGTCTTAGTTCAGTGTTGCAAGTGTTTTCTTTGTTGTACTTCTTGCAGTTGTAAGAGCTCTGTGGTCTACTTGGGAAGACTTGTCTATGCTGTCTCTGGTAGTTCACTACTGGTTATACTGAAGCTGCACTAGTACCAGGGGTTCTGCTAGTCAAAAGTCTGTTCTTCGTTGTCAGAGCTTAGGACGGTACACGCTTATCCACTTCATCTTAGGAACATATGGTGTTGTCATCTGGGACGTAAGGTACGCACTAGCAGCATTTAAAAACTCAACTGGAAATACCTGGCATCCCATCTTAATGTCTCTTGCTACCATACTGGCTGATGCTTTACTCCTGGATAACCTGGATGTCTTCAGAAAAGCTTGTCTCCAAGAGTGGCTGTGCAAAGCCGTCTTTTAAACTCTCCCTTCCTCTAGTCTGCTAGTTCTTCCATTAATTCTCTCACATTCAGACATTACTGAAGAAAACCTGCAAGCAGGTTGAGATGAAGAGTTTTCTGACAGTGGGTAGACCCTTTCTTTCTTTACCTAAGAGTCAACCATAAGTTGGTGTCTTTCATGCAGCCAATTTTCTAAATCTAAACCATTTTCTAGATCTAAACCGTTTTTGGAATGCTACAGGATCATGTAGCCACTCTCCAAGATTAAAAAAAAATCCCCAAGATAGAGAAACATCATTCACTAGATGAAGGATACTGGCATGGCACTCAGCAAGCTGAATGTGGTTGACCTTTGCGACTGTAGATACACAACAAAGGTCCCACAATGCACTGGGGCCAGCTGCAGGATGAGAACACCATGTGCTCCTTTGATGATAGGATAACTGATTCAGACATTAACTCAGCCTTAAAGATAGATAAACGTTGTTTGTATCTAAATTTACATCTAACCTACTTGCACTTCCGTGTCGTATTATCTTCCTACTTCTTAAAAGTGTTTTACCTTAGCTCGGCGTCTAAAGGTAGAGCATCAAGACTTGGGTTTGCCTTTATTTCATAGATATATTTCTTATAAATGCAGCATGGGATAGCGCAGACAGGGATTCTGGGATGGCACAGAGAAGTGGTAGGTAAATAGAAGTGACCTTTAACATCTGACCTACATACCCAGTGAACTTTAACCTCCAACTTTCTTTATAAACTCAACACAAGTCAATCTTTGGCAACAACTTCCACAACCATGGCAACAGTATAACCTCCTGAACCTTTTATGTCAAAGGTCAGATGCCAAAGGTCATTTACAGGCCAATCAAAATCTAGAGAGCGCTAAAATAGAAAACCTTTACAAGTATTCCAGCATCTGGAAATGAGTATATAACATGTCCCTTATACACAGGGCAAAATTCAAATTTACAACATTCTTAATACTCAACCTGGCTTTAGTACACATTGTATACATTATTATTTTTCATTTAGTGAGTCTAATTTATCCAATTACAATTTCTCATCTTAAACAACAGACAATATTGAACCTTTGGGTGCAATATGTCCAACTGTGTCCTTGCATAATTAAATGTCTGTAGTTGAATTCTGCAAACTTTCTGCATCGCCTATCTGTCATTTTCACAGTCTGTTCCATACAAAAGTCATAGCTGCTCGGCGAAGAAGAACTTGAACTAAAACATGACAGAACCTTACAATACTGATGTAACCAGTGATTCACACTAGCACAATGGCTTGGCACCAAAGCTGGAGAATGTCAGTGACGTGGGCCATTTCTCCCCTTACAAACAACAGGAGCGGAAGGTTCATTTTCTTATAGTTAAACAGCAAGCTTTTTCTTTTTTTCTTACCCTGCATGCAATATCTGTTTCTGGATACATGAAACACACAACACCTTTTCGTCAAGTCTTGAACATTTTGGAATCCTTCTTTTTTTGCTGTTGAATACAAAATACAACAGATATACAACTATTTTTTTATTATTTTCCACTGCTCCTGTGTTTGCTGGAAGAAATGCCAAAGTTTTTATTATTTTTTTTTACTAGATGTGTAGAGTATAGGATATGCAAGGGTGGTAGATGCCCCAAGATATACATGGGTGCATATGGCCCTGTATGTACATGGGTGCATAACAGCCCTAGACTATGCAAGGGTGCAAAACAGCCCAGACTTTACAATGCAGGTGCAAAACCGGCCCAAACATGACAGCTGTCAATCACAGCCTCTTTAACAAGAAGGCAGCAAATGTGTGTGAAATTCTTTGATTATTTTGAAAATCTCAATGATATGTACAACATGACTGGCCAGGCTTGGCACCCCGGTATTTACAAAGAGGGATATTTGACACAATCAGATTTTCATTCATTACTAAAATAAGGAGGTTTGATTGGCTAAACCTCCTTGCTAATTACCTGTAACAAAATGAGGTATGCATCAAACATTGTGAACTATATATAAGTAAGAAGCACAAGGATGGACGGTTCGTACTTATCAATCCTTCAAGAATGATTGACAGCTGTCAGGCCAAGTGACGTATGCACCCCCCATGCCATAATCAAGGAGACTCTGCATCATCCATTGAACAAACTTAATTATTGCCACTAGAAGCTTTGGTGACCAAGACCCTTGGAACAATGTTCCTTACTGTGTGCCAAACCCAACCCTCACCCCCAACTGGTAATGGTACACTCCATAACGTATGGGTGTGCAAACTGTCGTGGACTGAACTATCAGTGTATGAGGGGTTAATATATTATGGAATACCAGGTACAAATTTCAGCCATTCTAGTCTTGTTCCTTCCTCTACCTCCTTGCTTCATCCTTGTAGTCTTGTTTAGGACTAATAGGAGCACATCCAATCTGAAATGTTGGATTTTGTAGTCTCTATACAAAGCCTGTGTCTATAAGCAGACATGAATCAGTGCAGGGATCTCAGCTTGCTTGGCACACATGCAAGAACATTGTCAGGTAGTCAGAATAATACAGGGCTGCTGGTTGCTGTACGTGCGAACCAGGCAGGGTCCCCCAGCTTACGTCATATACTTCATGATGGCGCGTAGGGCGTACAGAAGTTCGGCTTGCATACGGGCCTCCAGGACCATGATGCACACATGCACCTGGAGACAAACAACACAACAGAGACACCGACGTCAATGTTTTTGTTTGCTTGTTTTTTTGGTTTGTTTCCACGATGAAGGCTGGACGGTGGGTCGGGCGCTACATCATGTACCTCATGATGGCACGGAGGGCATAGAGAAGTTCTGCCTGCATGCGCGCCTCCAGGACCATCAGGTTTACCTGCACCTGTGGGGGGAAACAAGCGGGGGTAAGTACATGGCAGGGGACCTTACCGTAACACCTTACATTAGAGGTGCTATTTGGTAAGTGTAGGTTTGGTATATTTGATACAATGTTTAGTTTTGTCAGTTACTGTTATTGACCATCAGAACTCGGTGGCTATTTCATATACAGTGTAGCTAGTTCATACAGACAGGTTTTTGACAGGACAGGGAACAAGTAAGAATTTTCCTTTCAAAAAAATTTGCAGCAAAACATTTGATTGCTACACTTTTTCTTCTATTAGTACATTTGTACTATTCCTAATCTACTCACTAAATGATTGTTAGTGGCTTTTCAGAATGACATTCATCAGAACATGCACAACATGCAGTTTTGGTCCTGTTCGTGGATCTAGGAATCATAAAAATTTTTAATGTGATTCGAGATGCAGAGCTTGAAACACCAAAATGTAACTCTATGTGGGTTAGTGCAGGTAAAACTGAACTTCCACACCCAGGTATTTCTGTCTGATGTCTACCTGCGACTAACCTGCATCAATCCATACAGGGTACAGGGTTTATATACACATGTAGGTGTAGCTGGATTTTCTAAATTTCTGTTTTGATTGTTATGAAAAGCAAATATAATATACCAAGAGCAATGGATTCTTAACAGTTTTCAATAAAATATGTATGGTTCCTAAAATCGAGTGGTGCATAATATAAACTTTTCAAATGAAATAAATTTTAAAAAATATTTCAAGCCCTGCATTGTGTTATGCATGTTCTGGTTGTGCAAAGTGGTGGTTAGAACAATACAGATCCAGGCATGCCTGCAACATTAGCTGGGACACTCCTAAGAAATTAAAAGGTTAGATTTATTGAGATTAGTGAGGAGAGACTATACCAATAGGTATCACAATTATAATAATGATTATCTCTCAAACTGTTAGTTTATATTCCAGAAAGGAATATAAATAATATTATCAAACTTTCTGTAGCACAAATTTGCTTTCATCTGCAATCAGAATCCGAAAAATGCCAGGATCTTATTGGTATAGCCTCTGTCAGAAATTGCATCATTCAATTTGTTACATACACATCAGGCACAGACAGATAGATATCACACAGTGCACAGGTAAGAACTATGGAGGAATAACGTGTACACTAAATAGAGAGATGCACTGGGCACTAACAACACAAGACATGTTATCAAAACCACACAAAACTGAGCAATAGGTGTTCACCAGTTACTACAATATTAGGCAAAACAAACATAGATGCTGTCAAAGACAGTTATGACATCACTGCAGAGAAAACAACTTGCTACTTGTTAATCTACTGGAGGGAAAGATGTGACAGAAGTTAAAACATTCAACAGGACACATGAAATATCTTAGTGTGGATGTCTGAAGGCAGGTACCTTTTCTGAATGTTTGAATTCCTTCCAGAAGTTGTCGTAGTCCTTGCGTGTGGTCCTCTCGGGGTAGCAGGTGACCGTCTTGATGAAAGACTTGAGCCTGATGTCCAGGAGCTGGTTGACCTCCCCGTAATCGTAGTCGTCGTGGAAGATCCCAAACATGCAGTGGATGTAGTTCCAGATGGCGGCACGAAGCATCGACGTGTCCACGTCTTTCTGTGGACCCATTCTGCAGGAGGACGGAAGCAGAAACAAGACTGAGTAAAGAGACTCTTTATTTCACAACCAAGTCTTTTTATTCAGCTGACGTTTCGGTGACCATCTGTCACCTTCCTCAGGACACTTCTGACTGGTTCAGACTGCACTGCAGCATAGGTGTCGCTGCTATAGATGCATTCCCAACTCCTGTACGTTTGGGACCACAGTGTAGATACAGTTCCCAGTAGCCACACAATCATGTATGTGTGGATGTATATTGTATGTTTGGGAATGCATCTTTAGCAGCGACACCTGTGATGCAGTGCAATGCATACATGTATGTGGACCAGTCAGAATTGCCCTGAAGAAGGTCACAGACGGTTACTGAAACGTCTTAGTAATACTTAATGCATTCCTAGTTGGTGAGATTGTGCCAACACAAACTTAGCATGATTGCGGGGTAGTATAACGTGTGACACCTACGTGTAGTACGTGAGATTGTACGCCATCCTGAACTTGTCGTCTAGCAGCTGCCCAATGTCCGAGTACAGGCGGTTGACCAATGAGAAGCCTTGATCCTCCCACGAGTAGTCCTGGACAAACATTAGTTTTTAAATTTTCTATCAGTTAACAATCCCAGAATACTTCATTCTGTAAGATATACTGATGATATTGGCTACTTCTTCTGACAAGTACTTTTTTTAGATGTGCAATATGCTACATTGTAACTTGTACATGTACATGTACATGCCCATAGCCAGGGTTTTGCTTATTAGGGGGGTTCTATCTATCTGAGGGACCAGCGAGTGCAGCAGGCACAAGCTGTCTAGGGGGGTCTGGGGACATAAGTCACCAGAAAATTTTTAAAATCAAACCCCCTGAAATGTAATTTTCTGCAGTTTTGACAGCTTTTCAAAGGAAAAATTTCCTTCATTTCATTTAATAACAAAGTGAGCAGTTCTTCTAGGATACAAGCCCTGCTCGTGATACGAATCAGTTCGCCTTTAAAAAAAATCCTGGGCATTAAAAATGGACCTTTGAGCCCCCCTGGCTATGGGCATGTACAAAAATGTCTCATTCACTCATTCAATGTTACCACAGGCATTGGTGAGTACAGAAAGCTGGACACATCCCTACCAAGGAGGACTTAATGCACAACAAACTTAGTACTGTGGAACAAAGCTGATGTTTCTCTGATCTAAAAAGAAATAATGGTTAAGGACGTGTCTGAGAGGATAATGGGTTAAGTATAAAATCTAGCTCAACAAGAACTTTCAATGAAAAAACGTGTGTGTGTGTTATGTGTTGTCCACATTCAATTAATATGTAGGACAGATACTGCAAAATAAAGTTCAACCACAAACCTAGCAGAGGTGCTATATACTGCATACACATGTGGCTAATATGATTTAACATAATTATAGTTATAATTACACAAAAGTGCAATATTGAGGCAAATAGGACATTGACATGTATTGCTGTAACCAGCAGACAGAAAAGACTTGGAAATCACAAAGATGGAGCAAAAGAAACAGACGGAAGCAGAAACAAGTCTGTCTGTTATTTACGAGCAATATTAATAGTTTGCATATCTGGACAACCATTCAGAACAAACTCCACTTGACACGTGTGTGGCCAATCATACACTTGTACTGTATGTGGTGTGCAACTGCAATTATACACCTGTAACTTTACTTAGCAGATGCTCATGCCAATGATCATTCTACTTAAAGCAAGCTGCATTCAAGCTAAATTTTGTGTTATCTTTCACTGAGAGATGCTCCTTTCCTTGTGGTGATATTAATATGCCGTAAAACATGCTCTAAAAACATCACTTTTTTTTTCGACCATAACAACACCAACAGCTTGACATGCCAAAGTGAAGGTCGAGTACAGAGGTCAAAGGTTGAGGAAAAGGAACATACCCTAAGCCAGCCTGGAGGGGCTTCCATCTCCAAGTGGCAGGGGCAGAGCAAGCAGAGTGAGAATGGGTTGGGTTGTCAAGACAACAAACCAGCTAAGCCCTTTTATCCCCAAAGTAGAGATGCTTCAAACCCCCGGCATACCCTCGGGAAACCCCAACAGCTTTCAAGACAGAAGACATTCTCAAGAGAACCAAACAACATTAAAGGAGTAGTGACAGGAAACATCACATTCACATTGCAATAACTCGACAAATGGCATGCAGGTTTTATGTGAACATTGGCTGTCTACAGACCTCAAAGCTTCTATATATTGTAAGTAAGCATCTGGCTAGAAGTAAAACCTTTCAAACGTTCCTGACAACACTACTTGAATGTGTGGTCCCACCATGCAGAGGTACATGTACTATTTGTACTCCACAGGAACACATGCAAGCACTGAGGAACACCAGACAAACTTCACAGGACTAACAGGATACAAATGCCTTTTTTTCCCTTATAAGGGCACTTGTAATCAAACAAGTTCAGATTTGTGCTCTGTATGTGCTCTAGTATGGCAGGAAAACCAGCTGGTGCCCTTAAAGTTAAAGGGGGCTGAACCTCCATAGGGAAACAGGGCAAAGCTGACTCCTTAAAAAGAATACATGTCTATTTGCAGGTAATCCCTACATTTGACACCACCCTGGTGCAGGGCAGCTCACCTGTGCTCTGAAGGTGGGGATCGTTCGCTCCTCCCCTCTTTTGGCGAAGTCCTCGTAGTGGAAGTGGGGGTCGTCCCTGTACTTGGCATAGTCCGACACTGCGAGGCACTCTGAACAGGCACTTTGGCCTGGTAACACTGCAATGGTAAGCATCAACAATTACACTGAAGTTAGGGGAGAGTGCACGCAATCTAATAGGGGGGAGTCTAGGGGCAAATTTAGGATTTTCAAGACTTATACATACATGTACAATGTAAAACACAATTTCCCACATTTTGAATCATGAGGTTAGGAGTGGTTGGTGGTGGTCCTTTGGATGTTTTAAAACTTTTTTTTCAAGATTTTTGTCAATGTTGTGTGTCAAGGGTGATCATGACGGATTGGTTTAAATATTTTTCTGGTACACGCCACAAAGTTCCTGCAACTGACTGGAAAGCGGGTGCTGACTAGAGCCATTGATCTAATCCACAAACGGTCAATACTAACACTCAGAAAAAAACAGAACAAGCGGTCAGAGATTAGGGTGCAAAGGTGAAAGGTCACTCACACTCCAGACTCTGCTTCTCGACTTTTTCGAATCTCTGTTTCATCTCCTCCTGGCTGATCTCCTGCAGGTCTGCTGCTTCCTGGATCTTCTTCATCCGATGCATCAACATCTCCACCCCCGGCTCACTGCTCTCTAAACTCTGCACATCAAACAAGAGTTTTTTTTTTAACAGAGTGGTTCAATGCAAGGCCTATATGACCACTTCTCGGCATTGAACTAGGAATATGAGAGAAACATGGCTATGTCAAGAGATGGCGGTGAATGTTTGATTTGAAAGCCTGTAGATTGTAGGTTGGTGGGAAACACTTGTCAGGGAGGTAATTCCAAAGTTTGGCCGTACGGCGAAAGAAACTGTCACTGTAAAAAGAAGAAGGAATTTGGACGGTGAAGTTGTTGCATACTTATTTTGAAAGTTCATCTTTTTTGCATGAGGGATTAAAGAGGCCATCTACATCAGGGCATTACAACCATCCCTCAACAGAGACGGGGGGCGCCACAGACATTCTGCATGTGTGTTATCTGTGTGATGTCATGGAAGCGGTGGATTGCTCATTTCTTGACAAAGGCTGGAGTTGCACAGTTGACCCTGACTCAAACCTATATTGTCCACACTAAATGGTTTGTATTTGACTACGATTTAGTGTTTAAAAACATGAAACCATAACTAAAATACTGTACAATAGTGTGAATCTATATTATTTGGTAATACTTATAATTACGAAAAAGACAGATATTCCATAGTCACTCCGCCATACCCACCGAAGCGACACTGTTGGAGTGGTGTGCCTCTACGTCGTTGGCGCCCTCCGACAGCGAGGCGGGCTGTAACGTGTGCCCGCACTCGTGGTCGATCTCCAGGTTGATGCCGGTGCCGAAGACGAAGCTGGCGAGCGAGTGGAAGTGAGCGAGCAGCACGATGGCGTGGACCAGCTCCGACAACGACCAGCTGTCGTTTCCTCGCAGTAATTGCTGTGAAGAAGAAATTCCATTATAGACAAAGATTTATTCTAACGGTGTTGCTCAATGCAAGGCCAAATGAGCACTTCTAGGCATGGAGCTAGGTAACACTACAGACGTACATTTTGTGTATAAATGTATGATTATGCCAAAAGATGGAGGTGGATGTATATTCTAAAACTTTAGGACTGTATTCAGAAGGAAAGCATGTGTGGGAGGGAGTTCCACAGTTTTGCAGTCAGGGGAAAGAAGTTTTTGTCGTCAAAGGACTTTGGAACAGGAATTTTGATGGTTTGACAATGTGAACTATAGGAGAACCTAGTGGCCCGATGAAAGGTTCTGAGTGTGGTGGAATGGGTATTACATGTACATGTTCAAGTTATTCTGAATTTCAGCCTAAAAATCTCATGTCTTATAAATTACATGTACACCAATTGCCACAAATTTCTGCTTGTTCTACAAGAAAAAAAGGAAAATTAGAATTTCAGGATTGAAAGGGATACTTGCATATTCATGAAACGTCTGTACCATTACGTAACGTCTGTCTGACAATCAAGGGCAGCTGCCAAAATAATGGTGAAGTTCTGCAGAAAATTACTAGATGGCACTGCTGCATCATCTCTGCATGAACAAGTCCCCCTTTTGTAATTCCTCTAGTCCTCAATCAGCCATTGTATTTCTGAATCTAAAATGCATGCGGACTACCAAGTACACGTAGATCACAACATACATATTCTGTGCTAATACAACGCAGCTGGTAGATTTTAGTCAGCTCATCCAAATTAGCCTATGGGTATGTATATTGCTAGTCTTTAAAGTAAAAATGCATTGTCTAACCCTATACCCTGGCGACAATGCAGACAAACAGCTGATAATCAGGCTTTCAGCTGAACAACTGGAGTAAGAGATCATCTCCAATTACACCCTAATGCAGCCAGTACTACCAGGCTTTTACTTCAGCAACTAGAGCAGCAAATTGGTCCCACTTCATGATCACAGCTCCTCAATCCCACAAGCTCCTCTGTGCACAGGCTAATATTAGAACACCCTGACCCACTTCAAACTGGGCAAACTTTCACTAGTAACTGGATCCACAGTTTAAACAAAGCCAATTTCCACCAGACAACCAACTAGCAGGGATACATAATCCCTATAGACAGTGGAAAATACCAAGTTCCAGAATAGAATTTTTTTGGCAAAGCAGGATGCCCACGGCCTCTCACAGGCACTGGTATAGTGCTTGTAGAGCAAGAAGAGATTTTGGAGTAGGTAACATGGGGTAAAAAGTCAACAATCTAGATGTGAAGGTTTTCCACTTGTTGCACAATGGCTTACTAGTAATTGGCAACTCCCATGTGTCTTATGTGTAGTATGTTGTCACATCTAAGTCTGGAAGTAGCATTTCTAGGTCTTGCCCCTAGCTTAGTTCACTACTCACCACAAAGATAGAAGATGTTCTAATTTGTGGCTGTATATAAATTGTATAATTTTCTCACCTCTATGTGTTGTTTGGTAATGAGCCACGGTCTGTGTGCCAGGATTTTGTTCAATTCGCACAAGTTTCTTAGCTTCTGTGGGATGTAGTCCAAGCCCTTCAGCCAATCAGGATCGCCGTCCTGCATGAGAAACTCGCTTTCCTGCAGGTCTACCAGGTAGCTGCACTGGTGCCTCGCTGCCGCCTGGGGAGGGGGGCAGAACATGGCAGTGTTAGCATCACTGGCTTTGCTATACCGTATATACAATGTAATATTATAAGGTTTTGCTTGTGAACTCAATGGAAGCACAAACACTATATAGGCAAACCTGTAGAAGTGACCACCTCTACATGTCCACCTGGCCATTCTGACCACTTTTTTTTTGCCAGATGAGCCGAAAATGTCTATAAAACAGCTAGCGGACATTGGACATTGTCAAAAATACTGGACATTTTTCAAGCATTTCTAAGAATGTCTTTCTAGTGATTTTACAGGGTCTTTTTTGGGAGGACTTGCTTGTTGTGCTTTTCATTGTTCACAAAGTGTCTGTCAGAATGTCTTTAGAAAAAACTGTGAAAACTCACAAGCACTACACAAAACCAAGGCAATTAAGAGGGCGGGACACAATTAATTAACAGACAGGTGCTAATATCTTTATAAGTACGCATTGTGTTAAACAAAGGACTGTGTCCTAGGGGTGTCCCCACCTGACGTGTGAAGAGACTATGGATATAAAATGTCCATCTTGGGTTATTTCGATGTTGTTTCTCAGAAACTATGTCTACTTACTGTTCAGGCAACATGTACATACATGTTGTACATGTAATGAATTGGCAGAATATTTACTAAGTACTAGTAGACTTACCATGACTCCTATGTAGTGCCTGTAGTCCTGTGGTAGCGGCCCGTCCATCCGTATAGCAAGTAGTGCTGCATTATGAGTACTACTACTACTACTACTACTACTACTAGCAGATGTTCTACATACCATGACTCCTATGTAGTGCCTGTAGTCCTGTGGCAGCGGCCCGTCCATCCGCAGCAGGTAGTGCTGCATTATAAGTGATACTACTACTACTACTACTACTACTACTAGCAGATGTTATACTCACCATGACTCCTATGTAGTGCCTGTAGTCCTGTGGCAGCCGCCCGTCCATCCGTAGCAAGTAGTGCTGCATTATAAGTACTACTACTACTACTACTACTACTACTACTAGCAGATGTTCTACTTGCCATGACTCCTATGTAGTGCCTGTAGTCCTGTGGTAGTGGCCCGTCCATCCGTAGCAAGTAGTGCCGCATCAAGAAGTACTACTACTACTACTACTACTACTAGCAGATGTTCTACTCACCATGACTCCTATGTAGTGCCTGTAGTCCTGTGGCAGCGGCCCGTCCATCCGTAGCAAGTAGTGCTGCATTATAAGTACTACTACTACTACTACTACTAGCAGATGTTCTACTTACCATGACTCCTATGTAGTGCCTGTAGTCCTGTGGCAGTGGCCCGTCCATCCGCAGCAGGTAGTGCTGCAGCCGCAGGAAGCTCTCCAGGTACTGCGGGTGGAAGCCCATGACACTGGTGATGTTCTCCAGCCGATTGTTCTGCAGGAACGCGTCCACAAACAGCTGTCTGGTCTGGAAGGGCGGCAGCGAAGGAGGTTAGCTTTTACTCGACAGGAAAGAAGTCTCCAAATACCACCTGCATAAATATGCACTGCCAATGCAAGTAAAATTGGACACAGGGTTTGAAATACTTGGTGTTTCCAATACTGTAACAGTACAAATCACTTTATATGGGCGATAGCAAAATTTCGCAGTCTGAGAAAAATGGACATGTTCGTGGAACTATATGTTCGCAGAGGCGGCAGGTGCAGAAGAACGAAATTCGGTGAATTATTTGTTTGCGCTAATGATAAATTTGTGGTACAGAAAAGACCACGAAAACCGTGAATATAAAAGTACCAAAAAAAAAGTGATTTACAGTAACTTAAGTCTCGCACAGAAAACATGACTTGCATGGTGAGAGTGCAAGAGTTGGTATTGCCAACCCTGATTGGAGCTGTGTAGGTGCTTCTGATGTCTACCGGGCCTAACGGCTATGGTTTCTCGACAATTTTTTAGTAGGTGCTTCTGATGTCTACCGGGCCTAACGGCTATGGTTTCTCGACAATTTTTTAGTATGATCCATACTTTCTAAGTTCTAAGTGTTGTAAGTAAAATTTGTCTGGAGCAGGTATGTAGAAAAAAGAATTTTGAGCCCTGATATGGACACTTATGAATAAATTTACTAACCAAATTTAATCTCACTATAACCAATCAAAACTATGTAAGGACATTGAAGTTATAACATGCAACATAAAAGACCATATTTTTGTTAATATCAAAATGACTTTTTTTTTCAAAACAACAGGTCATTGAACTGGCTGATATATAAACATGTCAATATGGTCAGAACGGCACTGTTTGGTTGGTAAATATGTCACCTCCTATTGGCTACTATCTAAACAAGATTGGCAGACCACACAAAGCAACAGGTCATTTAAACAGGTGATATAGGACTGAGGGGGGACACAGTTATATGGCCAAGGTTATGCAATAAATTTGACCAGTGAATGTTGCTGACAAAGCCAAGAAAATTCAATGGTTGCCATTATTACATACATACGTAAAGTAAAAGACCAAGATCCTTCTAATTGATCCTTCTTAACATTTCTTGATAGCCATTTAAGACATTTTAAGACTGTATAAACCAGTTTATCTAAATTGACCAATGGCATGTACTAATCCAAATCATATGGATTGTATATTATCAGAGTAATACATTGGTGTTGTTGTTTTGAACATACATGTACTCCTTATCTTTTATTATCTCCATCTTTTAGTACCCCCCCCGGTATAGGGTACATTTTCATTATATGAACATTAGAAAAAAGAAAAATGCTTCAAGACATTTCCTGACCTAAAGCATATATGGAATTGAAGTCAGGGCTGATGGCTTCCCTCTTCCCTACATGTAGCTGTTAGTAGGCCAGGGTCAGAGTGTAAATCCCTGGTGGATTACCTGGCCTATGTGTGACCCAGGGCTGTCTGCAGCTCTACATTTTTGTCTGTCCCTTCCAGAGGAACCTATGCCCCTCCCACCTTGGAAATATTACTGTAATTCCTGACTTTTTTCGCGGTACTTTTATGTTTGTGTTTTTTTGCGGTCACTTCTGCACCGAAAACTTGTCATTTTAAAGAATTTGTCAACTTTCTTTTTTCTGTACTCGCCACCACCATGACATACATGTACAAATGTATATTTCAATGCGCACCCCCATTTTCTCACACCACAAACTTGCTGTTGCAAAAATACAAATGCGTTTCCTGCATTCAAAGGGCAATTTTTAATTGTCTTTGGGTGAAGTTTTGTGCCAATGATGACAGCCTGATGGAATTGTCATAGAAGTTTGATTTTTGTTTGTCAATGGGGACAGAATGGTAGAAATTTGTCTGTCCCCAGGGGGAAAATTCCAGAACAAGGGATGGCTACTGGACAGGGCGCCATAATGCATGTGAAAAACTTGCCTAGGGGTCAGTGGCCCTGAACTGTGGTAAGTCACCTCTGACTCCCAGGCAATAACTTCATGTACTGTCACAGGCAAGCTGGCTGCACCAATAACCCACCAGTTTTGTCAGCCTTTCAGATCCTCATAACTTCATCTCTGTTCTTTGTAAACACCACGTAATTCGCACAATTGGTACCAGAATGACTACAGCATTAGTTTTACATGTTGGCATAAGCACTTTTGTCTGGCTCATTATATTACATTACGGGGACTGCTAGACACTTGTTGGCTTTATTTTACGTGACTGACAATGTCAGATAATGTCTAGTTACATGTAGCTGTAACGTTATGTGGCAACTTAAAAGGTAAGGTTGATATCAACATCAACAAATTCTTCTTTAAAAAAAATTACTGATAACACAAACTTTTGATAGACTCAAAAAATTTCTTACACTGTATGTACCTTACACATATATATTACAGATGAACATTTTTTTGTATTTTACCATGGAACAATTTTACAATAAAGACTTGAGAGGACATTTAAACTGTGACCTTACCTGTTCATCATCTGTTTCTGGTGGTACAATCTGCAAAAAACAGTAAAGAAAAGAAACAATGTGAGCTCAGGTGTAAGATTTTAATCACTTCCCGTGGGCAATTAGAAAGGCTAAAGGCAAAACGTGACATGCACATTGATCAGAAGTACATTGTCAGAGGACCTGAAGACAAGAAGAATGTAATAGATCCTTTAGTTGCTGTAAAAGTACAAAGGTACATTGTACAAAATGTACATGTAGATGTGAGTGTGCGTGTATGGGACAGGGCTCTAGCCAGTGCCCGTTTTTTCCATCACTTTCCAGAATTTTGTGGCATGTGACAGAAAAAAAAAAAAAACAATCCGTCATCCTTGACTGACAAAATTGACAAGCACTCTCCACAAAGGTCTGATCATAAACCTGGGCTGGCAAAAAAAAGTTGGCTAGAGCCTTGGTATGGGGTGAGTGGATAGCTCAGTATACCAGTACGTTGATGATCTAGTGGACATGGTATGTCTCCACCCATAACGTAACCAAATGTTCTTCATGTGCCTATGGAAACTTACCAGAACTACCGCCTCCCCGACCTCCTTCCAATAACTACCCGGTAACTCTGCACACGGAATGAACGCATTTGGACTCCGGTCAACCTTCGGCAAGTCTGCAATCCTTGCAGCTCCGTCCCCTCTCATGACAGTACACAAATGTAGACGATACTTTAAATGTTGCTGAACAGATTAGTCACCGTCTCTAGAACAACGTGACGTCCGACTAGAGGCACGTTTCTTGAACAGAATTCACTGAGAAAAACTGCCACCTGACAAGAGGCACACTCCTTGAACAAAAGTCACTGTCTTTAGAAAAACGTGGCACTTAACTTGAGGCAAGATTCCTGAACAGAAGTCACCGTCTTTAGAAAATCGTGCCGCCTGACTAGAGGCACGTTTCTTGCCCCGGGCTGAAAGACCAGCTGAACTCCAATGAGCCTTTGGCAAGGATACTTATGAGAGAACCCTGTAACTTTCCATTACAGCATGGGAGAGTCTGTCAGTCAAAGAACATGCCTGGAGGCAAAATGACACCCAGCAGCTAAACAACGCTCTTTCCTATTGGTTCTCCTCAGGCTCCGGCAGAGAAAATCGAGATAGGGACGAAGTTTTGACGTCCTAAGTGGTGAATTTTTGTCGCGATATGGCTTCAGATCTACGATGAGCGGCGGGCATGTGCCATAAAGAGCGCAGCTCCTCCCACTGCCCGCCCCGAAGAACAAACATCGTGCCCCAGATATCAGGAATCGCCCAATCAGCTGGCCAAATATGCCAACTTGTTTTCCCTTCATCCACACAAGTCTGGCCTCACACCAGTCTGTAAAAACAAACTTACCAGATCACAGTCTGCCAGGTCACTGACCTGTCTTCTCAGACACCCATCTGAACATTAACATAAAGTGTGGCTAAAGTAACAAAATGGAACAAATTGCAAATTCTTTCTCTGCTAGGGCAGCATGACCTAGCCTAAGCAATCTCAGCAGGTTATGTCAACACAAGCAACTGTTCCCCTTTGTCACTACAGACACTGGATCAGCTGCTCTAAATGCTTGCAGTAAAAAACTGTGACCTGTTAGAAACCCGATAAGGGTAGGAGTGATTCCTTTTACAGCAAAGTGGCAGGCAGCAAAACAGCGGAAACTGTGGTTTTTGCATTCCTAGATGTAGATCAGGTAGTTATGTCAGTGGCAACATTGGAGATACTTGAGAAGTAGTACTTTGCTCATAGCGAATCCCCGATACTCTTGAAAAAAACAACAACAGTATCATGATTGTTCCAAGCAGATATATCAAATCAAGGACCATATGTCACTCTGGTTAGCCTGTATATCACAGTATAGCTAGAATATTTGATCAGAGTCGTGCCTGGATTTTCTAGCAGGAAGAACAGCTTTGCAGAACAACACAACATCCAACACTAACAGTCCTGTGCAATGTAAACAACCTAGTTTCAAGATCCCTGAGTGTTCAAAAACAGCTTCTCATTCACAAAAACAAACCTATTCGTGAGTACTCTAACCCACTAACCTTTCTATCATTTGCCTAGACAACTTAGCCTGGATGCCAGACCCATAGCACACTAGGCCAAGTTATCCTGTGTGCAAGGCCTAGTGTGCTATGGGTCTGACATCCAGGCTAAAACAACAGGAATGTTGCTCATTGACAATGTTACTCATTGACGAGTCTAACACATTGAGCTCTCTACAGATAGCTGGTTTACTGCAAAAACTCGAGTGGAAGTTTTGCCCTTTTTGGCACACAATGTTCCATTGCACATACATGTACATGCACAGCATCAAGCAAAAACGCAACTCTTTCTACAACACAGTTAAAAGAACATTACATGTACAAGTACCCACCATGTGATCGGAGGTTCCCAATATATAGAAAATGCACATAGACCATGTAGTACTGTGCATACATAGACTTTGAAAAACACTCTTCAGACATTTCTGTGCACCATATTTAAATCAATGCGTTTTCACAAAATGTGGAGTGTTTAAACAGGTGGTGTTCACATTGAACAGTGATTGGCCGAGGGACCTCCCTGTCAGTGGAAATTTCCAGTCCTTCCTGGTCTGATTTAGTAGACCGCTCTGATTGGACGGTTTTGGAGGCGTGTCTGAGGCGTTTCTGGGCACTAGACCATGTCGATGATGGATACTTGCCAAGAAGGCATTACCCTTTTGCAGGTTCAAGGTCTTTGAGGTCCATGTATAGATGTACAGACTAATCTACTTCTCAATTTTAGAAGAATGATAATATGATATTATCCTCAATGTAATAATGATGTAATTATAAACAAGGGAAAAACTGTAGATTTTATCAATGGATTTATATAATGATAATGCAGAACATTTTAGGTACTAAGCATGTCAATGGACAGTCTATACAACACTGGTAGTCATGTACTTGTAAAAGTTATGGTAGGAGCAGGCACTTACTGTAATGCAACAAACATATCTGCTCACAATACAATAGGAGCTATAGTATAAGACTTGTAACTAAATGTTGGTCAGAGCTTAAAATAGTTAAAATTTGATTATAATATATAGTTCACATGTACATGTACATCAGAAAGACAGAACTGTCTATTCCTATTGCTGTAACCAAACATACATTTACATACCTGTCTGATATTACTGATATGCCAGTGCGGTATACATTTGTATATTTTCGTATCAGAATGACTGACAACAACCATGGCGATGGGCCAAGGAACTCAAATGAAAAAAGCTGAAACTTAAAACTAGTACCAACATTTCCAAGAACTGTTCCCCTCATGATGACTCCTGTGTCAGAATCTCAACTGGAACCTTCTTTCAGTCGTCACCTCCAGAAACTAAAATACATGTCGCTACAACCAATGACAACCTGGTACGTAAACAAGTTGATGTATTCACCTTCATACTGCCCGTCACATTGACCTTTGTCAACGGACGTCAGGACTGACCTTTGGATTTTTATTTCAGAACATGCTAATTCTGCTTCCGATTGGCTAGGATTGGAAATGTACACGTCAACCTGGGATGGTTACTGACGGTCAAGCTTCGTCTTTTGACTTTCAACATTGACAAGAAGTAGAGCTGTGTACTACCTAAACCCACATTTAGGTTCAAGTCCGGATTTAAGTCCAGAGGTTTAGCTTCAGTTCTGGACTCAGAAGTCTGTACCTGTCATATACATAATTGCATGTTGACAACCTTGCATGTTGTATGGGCAAAACTGTGGCCACACAACATGGAGGCCGACAGTTGATGATGCCTGATGGCAATGTTTTTTCTTTTTACAGCACAGATTTTGCAATCTATGGAAGGTTTTAGGTGGTTAGGAAAGAAAAGGGGTATGTGACATGTTTTTTGTGTGATAAGTCCGGAATCAGTTCTTGACTTTCAGTTGTTTTTTTTTACTTGAACCTAAACATTTTTACAAGTCCGGAATCGACTACAGCACTATTGACGACTGATGTGAGTCAAGGACTCTTTGACCGTTGAATGATTTTTATGACATTTTATGAGGCTGTTATATAATGCGGGGCTTGTTAATCCACATGTCAGGTCTAGATCTGACCTGGACAGGATAAAGCTTTTTTTTTTGGGAGGAATGTTGGCAGATTTCCAAAGGTCTCTCTGATTGGTCAGAATGGGAGGTGTGTCTGGGGGAGTGGACGTGATGGAAAATCTCTGGCTTGGCTGCCATCCTGCCAACCTGTTTATTTTTGGGGGGCTTTGGTGTGATGTCCTTTTCTGGACCTGAGGGCCAAAACAGCTGTCAGCTAATGTCTCCAGCTGGTACTGTGACAGAAGCACGTCGGGGGCAGAACGTACTGCGCCTGTGCAGAACCCTGTATTTTCACGATTTTCGGTGGATTTTTGGTCAACACTGCATCAGAATTTTGACTGTTGCAAAGGATAGCTTTTCCTACATAACCTTTGGAAACTACAGACGGGGTGTTAACCTTATATGCACAAATAAACCTTATATGAGACGTTCTGCCGAAGTGCTATGCACAATATATTACGGGTTTCCCGCAGGTGCAGTGCGTTCTGCTGACGTGCTTGTGACAGATACTGTGTAACTGTGGCAGTAACAAGGACAACTTCTAAAGATCCTTCCATTTCTCTAAGATATACCAGTAAAAGGACATTACATGGAAACCTGTGCTGTTTGGACTGCAACATATACACCTGTACACTAATAAAAAGTAAGACATATACAGACATGTACATGCAACGCATACTCCCTTCTTTGGTGTATATACGAGTGGGATACAAGGCTAAAGGCAGCTCTGTAAAAAGGTATGTAATAGCTTTGAAGCTGATTTGCTTGACAAGTGTAACTTGTCAGACAAAAACCACCATAGTTTAATCTCCCAACAATGTAGAACAATTCATGCATGGTCCGAGCTTCAGCTCTAGTTACCAATTACCTGAGTCAGGTGTGCAAACCCTATGACACATTAACTTTTGTCCCAGACTCGACCTGCCAAACTACCTTTTGATA